AAAGAAGAAGAAGAAGAAGAAGAAGAAGAAGAAGAAGAAGAAGAAGAAGAAGAAGAAGAAGAAGAAGAAGAAGAAGAAGAAGAAGGAGAAGGAGGAGGAGGAGGAGGAAGGGGGGGGGGAGAAGAAGAAATTCCATTTTCCGTCTCTCGAAGACAATTGTAACTGTCAGCTGGAGCGTACGCTGTTTTTATAAAGCTATATTATGATGAAGGAAATGGTATTCACTTTAACATCAGCCAATCTTAAACATTGGTGGTCATATTATTTTTAGCTTGAGAAATGTTAATATTTGACCTCTGACCTTCCAAGATTTGGTTTTCGCTGAGCAGGTGCGTTCCATTGTCCGAGCTGAGAGCTAGGTATGCCATGCCCGTGGTTGTGGCCATCACGTTTGGGATGGAGAACCAGATGAAGCCAGCCAAAATGAAGCCCCACACACCCTGGAATAACAAAAAATAATGTACAGTCAGCAACATACATTAGAATACACTTTTGTATAATTGAGACATAGCAAAAACTAATTATGATGCCAAATTTTACAGAAGACTGACTTTTGTTAATCTGTATTGTTGAACCGTAATTTTGGTAAATGAATTATAATTGAAAGTGTAGGCAGTTATACCGTTTCGTTTAATAACTTATGATAGAAATGTTTTCAGTTTTAAGTGATTTATTTATAGACTTTAGGACGGAATGGGTTTGCAGAGTTCTTTTTAAAAATAAAATGTAAGTGTTTTTTGCCTTCGTCGACACAGTTTGGATTAATTGGTCGCTTTTACGGACAAGCCGGCTAACACAGATTTCGGGGGTTTACAGAAATCTTGACCTACAGCAAAAGTGTACATTGCCCTTCTTATAGAAGTTTGGTTTCATTGGTGTGTATATTTGTTTGGTATATAGAAAACTCCCCTGGTCTTTTAAAGAAACTGAACACGGGCAAAATCAATACCTTCAATTTTCTCAAAACAACATTTTTCGGGATAGCTCCCTTGTGCTTCAAAGCGACCAATTAGGAGGCAGGCTTCCGATCCAGCCTGTCAAGGTCAACCCAGGCTAAGAGGGATATAAACTTTCAACAGGAAAAAAAACGAGACATTTGATAGAAATGTTTCTCCAATCGGGAATCGAATTCGAGTCTCCTTCATGCGACAACGAAGCATCTAATCGTTACACCACAAACACTGGTGGAGAATTCTGTAAGTCGCCGAATAATGGACAACGGATATGGTTCAAAGTGTGCATTAATTCAACTTAAGAACTAAGGCGCAAAATGCTCTCAGTTACACTGTGTTAGTGTCACTAACGAGCAGCGCCACCTCGGAGCAGTTTCCCACCCCAACTCAACCAACATCTAAGACAAGATGAGATGAGATGAGATGAGATGAGATAAGATAAGATAAGATAAGATAAGATAAGATAAGATAAGATAAGATAAGATAAG